GCAAAACATAGAACAGTGAACTACTTCGAGTTTTCCTAACATCTTCTGCTCCAACATAGAGGAGCAGAACTAGAGGAGCAGGAGATTTCATGCTACTTGGTACCTACTCCTGAAAGCGAAGAGATGAAGAAGTTCTTTATTTCCGTGCTGCCTGCTCCATCTTGCATGGACCATGTAGAAAGTATGGAATGGGACTGGGGCTGTAGACTTCTAACTGAACGAGATGGATGCCTCTGTGTGGCAAAGGCTATGGTCCCTGGCCTGTTCCCTTCTCATCAGGAAGGTGCAGCAGGAGAAACATGGCCAGGTCCACTTGAGGAGCTGAGTTTGTAGCATGTGAGGTCAAAGGGGGAGTTTCTCAGGGTGGCTTGAGGATGGAGCCCAGGCAGAGCATCCGCAGTGCTGCCAGAACCCAATTGTACCGGTTGTCTTCACTGTGTTGTGAATGAGGGTAAAGGGAGGAGGATGCTGGAACATTTGTACAGGCCTGCATCCCTAAGGACAGAAGTGCTGGCATCAGACCTGCAGGTGGCAGTTGAGCATATCATTTGGTACCAAAAGCTTGCGGCATCGCTTTGCGCTCTGCTACTAATCCGATGAGGAAAAGCAACTCCATCCCCACAGGCCTCAGTTTCCTTATCTGTTAAACTGTGAGAAAGGCCTTGGACTGACACCATCTCCCAAGAGATCCTGCTGGGAATTACCTGCATTTGTATAACACTGTGCAGGGTTGGGAGTCGTGTTCCCAAGAGGGTACAAGCCAGGACCAAGGCTGACCCCCTTTCTTGGCCGGAGATGGACCCAAACCCTTGTGTTCACAGAGCCCTCGCTGTTGAGGGTGAAGGAAGCTCATCATTCACATAACTCCCTCCATCACCTTATTTACACCTAACTAATAGCTGGCAAACTGGAGCTGGTGCCAAAGGAGAGGTTCTGTCTGTCCTAAGCTGGCCTCCTTTCTGGTCAAGGGGTTTTTACTTGGGGTGGGGAGGGGGGCATAGGAGGAGAATGGGACACTTCAGTTTATACCTCATTTTAGCTGCTGTACCTGAGTTCATTCTTTCTCCTCTGGTAAAGAAAGTGACTGTACTTACCACCGAGCAAATAGTGAAAATTAAAGCCGTTTCACTTCACTGTCACAATATCTTTCTTTTATTTTTTTTACTTTTCTTTTCTTAAGAAATGCACACAAAATCCGTGCAGAGAGTGCTTCAGGCTTGTGTTCTGCTTTATATTACCAAAACCAAATCCTTTCAATATAAAAAAGCATTACAGTAGGGAATACAGGATAAATTAGCTCCACTATCTAATAAAAAGAACATTTACAGTTTTTTGTGTTTCTTTTTAAAATAGATTTCAAACATTATTCCACACGCAGCCCTTTTCCCAGGCATTCGTGACAGTCATTTGAGCATTAAATAACAGGGGCACCAGGAGGGGCTGTGGGTTCGCAGGCACAGGCTGCTCTCTACTGCTTCCATCCAAGGTGCTTGGGCTGTAGGGCACAGTGCTACAGCGAAGGAGGTGGCAGCGCAGCAGCTCCCTCTGGTCCCCAGCCTGAACCCCTGGCCCCAAAATACTCACTAGAGCTGTTAAATGTAACAATACAGTTGCTTCTCCTGCCTCCTATTCAGAAAACTACTGTACAACAGAGGGAGCAGCCACATCAACAAGGGACGAAACCAACACATCCACATGCTTTGCCGTACAACAGGAGTGTGCTTTTTGGGCTTGCTTGTTCATTAAGGTCCCACAGGGGGAAAATTCCTTCTGCCTGTTCCTATCTTCCACAGACTTGCCTGTTATCTTCACAGCTGTCTCAGTTCTTGTTTAATATGTGCTGCCTGGCCTTTGCTGGGGTTTCGAGCTGTGTTCCCAATGGCACACCAGCCAGCTCCAGGAAGGAGTTAAGTCTTCACCCAGAGAAGAGAAAGGGGGGATCAGACAAGGTAAGAGAGGAGAAAAAGCAGTGCCAAGGCCAGAATAAAAAATGAATAATGATCTTTAAGGTCCCTTCCAACCCAAACTGTTCTACAGTTCTATGAATTAGAGAGCCTTTTGTAGATAAGGGACTTCCATTAGGGAGAGATGGAAAGCCAGGAAGCTGAAAACAGACAAAGCATCAAGTGCAGAATTTGGAAGGCCAAAAAGAAACAAGCCAGCAGGGATCATACCACAGGCATGTGTATTTATCACTTTGTGCTCCAGCTGCTTTGGTCCCGTTTCCCCAACACTGACAGTTGTTTCTGCATCACTGACATGCGTTTTCCCTGTTCCACTGGTAGCAGAAAAAGGCTCTAAGACTTCTTTCCTTTTCATTTTCCTTTTCCTTTTTCACCTTCACCTCCCACCACGCACAAATCAGAGTATTTGCCTTGCAGGCTCTGCCCTGAGACAAGCCAGGCCTTGGCATAATAAACTGAGGGGGAAAGGGAAGAAAAAAGCCTGAGACTGGGGGAAGGCAGTTCTGCTTCTCTCACTCACCTCCAGCCAAATTACCATCTCTGCTGATGGTTTTGTTCCTCCCCTGGGAATTGCTCTGCCAGAACAGTCCCTGACAACAGCTCCTGAGGCAGAAGCAGAACAGATAAGCTTGCCTTCTGCTCAGCCCATTCCCTGCAAAGACTAGTAGATGCAACAGATTTTCCTTATCTTAAGCACAGCACCTGCTGTCCGGCACGAATACTCCTGGTTTTTGGCTAGCAAAACTGTTTTCCTTCATTAAACAACAGAATTTAATGCTAAAATGCCTCATTAAAAAAGGCCCAGAGGGGAAA